TCTGAGAAGAAACGCCGAAACAAACTCAGAGGTCTCAGTCCCTTTCAAAGTTCACAAATGGTCAAAATACATCAAAGTTTAGTCCACTTACATTGTAATAATATTCACAGTTATAATCTCAAACAATATAATGTCAATGACAATTTCACAGCACTGATTCTGATGATTGCAATCATTATTCGGCCGACAGCATTCCCAGTGCGTCGTTGTTCGTTCGGAGTCCCAGCCAAAAGTGCCTGCTGTTCTGCGATGTTGAAAGTCACTCAATCTCCCCCACTCTTAGGCGGACATGACGTCACAATTAACTCTTGAAGCGCGCCATCTTTATTCATTTTGTTGTTATTCCTTCGTTTTGTAGTAAATCGAAATCTCGTACTAATGACCGTTCCGACAGGTATAAGTGAATTTTCTGAAAAACCAAATTTTTTTTCTTAAAGTGTCCATGATTGGGGTATTTACCTTAATTGAATATTCTTTCAATAGATCCTCTTTCTAGATTACCCGAAAAGGGTTTCATGGTATATTCACTGAGGGCAAATGCTTTATCACACAGAATTATATACGGTACCTTCACATTGTAAGGAGTTTGTAGTATTTCAGGATTCGGTAAATTTAGGCTTTTGTTTTCAAGGTTCCGGCACAAGGAAGTGTTTTTAAAAAGACCTCCATCTGATATGCGCCTTTGACATCCAACATTTACGTACATAAAATTGTAATCAGCGTCAACTAAAGCTAACAATACAATGCTAGAATATTGTTTATAATTGTAAAATTACGTTCCACTATTTAATGGTGCTTGAAGGCAAACATGTTTGCCGCCCATTGCGCCTTTTGCATGAGGAAAGTTCCACTTTTCTTCAAATTCTTTTGCAACGGCAATGGATATTGATTTTCAGTCTCGGGTAGCTGTAACAAATTATTTCATCTAAGTTAAAGTCAAAGTCATCTAAGTTTTTCTTATTTTATTTTTAGATAACTACCAGCAACAACACACAGAATGTGCATGCATTTATATCAAATGATGAACAATTAGCCAGTGATTCTGCCTCAAACACGCAACAAGTACCTAGTGATTTGACTTCATCCACACAACAAGCACCTAGTAATTCTTCATCGTCCATACAACAAACACCCAGGAAGTCTGCCTCATCCACACAACAACAGCACAACACATCATTCAGAAATAAAAGGCGCCGTAATAACGATGACACTGCCACATTAACAGAAGCAGTGGGATTACATTACAATATCTATCCAAGGAAGAAGACACTTCTTTTGGGACCCACATTGCGTATGAATTGAAAAAATACGACTCGCGAACATTTACACTAGTAAAACATGCTATCAATAATGTTATATTTCAAGCTCATATGGGCCAATTACCTGGTCAGTATGGATATTATACCGGTGCCTATTCAACGGATTTAACCAACTCTACCTCACGCCAAAGCAATTACAGCGACACGCCAATTCCAGCACAAACTGCACCTACATCAACAGCGAAAACTCCAAAGGAAGCGGAGGATAATCAAAATGAAATTTCTGAAATATTACGTTACGTTCAAGAACAAGAAGAATAATTCAGAAAATTTTTAATTATAATTTAATAAAACTTCTTTAAGTACTTAAATTATAATTTTCTAAAAATTTAATTATCATAATAAATAAGCAGATAAACATAAACGTTTTTATTCATTAGCTCACCTTCACATGATCCTTGAGAACCTTGATAATTGCATCACATAATTCAATAATAATAATAGATATGGACTGTTTAGATATGCGAAACAGATATTGTAAACTTGTATATGAGTCCCGGGTGGCCAAGAACCTTAACGTCACGGATAGCCTTTCTCTGGCTGTGATAGCTTCTCGAAAATTAGTATTAATTTTTTTATTACAGATTCAACCTTTTCAAGAATTATTTAAAAATCTTGCAAACTTATTCTCACAAAACTTTTGTCCCCACTTTCTTCATAATTTATATCTTCCATTAGCCTATTTCCACACTGTAATCTTTCACGAAACAATTTTTTCATCCACCATCTAGGTTTCCGTTTGTTTCTCTTTTTTTTATTTAAAATGTGTTGAATAATGACTAACGCCGCAGCAGTGGTGTTGCACACTACCGCTAAGTTTGTCGGAGTCATGGCGAATGACTGGGGCTCGCGGAGCGCTCTGGATCGATTGACCTCGCGTACAGGTTCGCGGCGGTCCGTACAGGAGCTGTACGCGTATCCAATGTACGCGCTATCCGTACGCACCTTTATACGATCGCGCATTGCGTTTTGGACGCTGAAGATTCTTCTGAGTACTATTACACTAGCCAATCACAGTGATTTATTTGAATTTCGGGGATTTACCGTCAACCAGTGACACTTTCAAGTTACAACCTGCTTCGGATTTGAGAACTGCGAATTGCTTTTATATTAGAAAACATTTAAAAATAAAAAAATCAAGGAAAGAATGAAGACATAGCTTTAAAATTTGCAAATTATACATTAGGAGAAAAAGTTGTGCTAGAGTTAACAGAAAAAGAATGGGGTAAACAGAAAGTTATTTATTATGATAACTTTTTTTCATCAATTGCTTTATTAGAAAAACTGAAAACAGAAGGAACTTATGCCTGTGGAACTATAAGGGCTAACCGTAAGGGCATTCCCAATAATCTGGTAGCTGACTCTAAACTGAAGCGAGGCGAATATGATTATAGATTTTCTAATTTCAATATTGCATATTATAAATGGAAGGACAACAAAATTGTAAACTTGGCTTCAAATTTTCATGGCAATGATGAAGGTACAGTAAAAAAAATGTATCTAAAACTGTAATCACCTGTCCCAAGGCCATTACGATGCCCTTAGGGGCATCTATCCCCTATGGACTAAGTTGATGTTTGCATACCTAATATGTTCCCATTTCTTCTTTTCAGACATGCCTCGCAAATATATTAGAAAGGTTGGAGTTCGTCCACGAGCTGAATGGACGCAAGAGGCATTAATAGCTGCAATGGACGAAATTTCGAAAGGCATTCTAGGAATTAACGAAATATCTCGTAGATATGGGATTCCCTCAAGAACATTGAGGCGAAGATTCGCTAACAAAAATACGGAAAAACTGACATTAGGTAATAAAGTTGTAATAGCATGACCTAAGTTCTTGTTAAGTAAAAAAAAACCTATTATTCCTAACATTTTTTGTTTTTTTTTTTTTATAGGAAAACACCCACTTCTTTATTTTGAAAACGAAAAACGTTTGGTGAGTCATATACAGAAATTAGAAAAAGCTGGTTTCCCTCCAACCCGAGACATGATTCGAAGATTAGCCTTCGAGTTTGCTGAAAAACTGGGTAAAGAAACCAATTTTAATCAAGAGACTCGAAAGGCTGGGCCGCATTGGTTAAGATCATTTTTAGAACGTAATACAGAGTTAAGTATTCGTCAAGCAGAAGGCTTATCAGTTGCAAGAGCACAGGGATTGAATCGAGATGAAGTCAACAAAATGTTTGAACTACTGCTTAAGGTAATGACTGAGCATGACTTACTGAATAAACCGGATAGAATTTACAACGTAGATGAGACAGGTGTCCAGTTAAATAACTCTACTGAAAAAGTCATTGCCACAAGAGGCGCAAGAGTAGTCCATTCTGTAACTTCTGGTGAAAAAGGTGAAACTTTATCGGTAATAGCATGCTGCAATGCTGTAGGGAACTTTCTTCCCCCAGTAGTCATCATCAAGGGAGTAAACAAGAAACCAGAATTTCAGGATGGGCTCCCACCGGGATCAGAAGTCTATATGAACAGAAAATCCGCGTACGTGAATGCTGAATTATTTCACAAGTGGCTAAAAGAACATCTGGTACCTAAAAAACCAATAGGAAAGATTATTTTGATTCTGGATGGTCATTCTTCTCAAACGAATGCAATAGATATGCTTCAAACTGCCGAAGAAAATGATATAATTTTATTTTGCCTACCCAGCCACACCACTAAAGCGCTGCAACCACTGGATCGCAGTTTTTTTAAGCCTTTTAAAACATTCTTTGCTGCTGAAACACGAAATTGGGTAGTGTCACACAAGGAACGAAAGATTAATCGATTAGTTGCAGGAAAACTTATTGGGAATGCGTGGACACGAGCAGCCACGAGTTCTAATGCGATTTCGGGATTTAGGGCTTGTGGTATTTACCCTTTCAATCCCTCTGCAGTTCCAGAGAGCTTTTTTGCAATATCTGACATTTCTTTGAGTAATCAAAGGCCTACAGAAGACAATGCAGGTGAAAATGATGCACCAGAACCGGAACAAGTTTCATCTAGTAGATCAAGCCCTGTAGTTGATCGAGTTCTTTCCAACGTTACTCCTAATTATATGGATATTTTTAATAGAACTGAAGAAGCTCTTGAGCAGGAACCAGATCCATCAAATGTACAAACTCTGGGAAGTGATCTAAATCTATCCAACGTTTCTCCTTGTAATACGGATCGACCAGAAAAGAGATTTTCTAATTCAAGCCCATCAATTCTGTCACAGAATAATAATATTATCAACATTGAGGAACTAGAAACACCAAGCAAATATTTGCAAGAATCTTCGCCGGTGCCAATTGTCCCGGTTCCATTTCATAAGAGAGGAAAACAATCAGCTGCAATTTTAAACACTAAAGAAAATATTGAAGCGAAGAAATCTAAAGTTAAAGGTAAAGCTACTCCAGGAATACGTTGTAAAAATAAATGCCAAACAGCTAAAGCTGATGTACAGAAGAAAGTGTTACGAACTGCAGTCAAGTTTCCAAAAAAGATTCCAGCCAAATGTATTAAGAAAAGAAAAGGCATTAGAGAATCTAGTGATGAGACGACCATCTCGGATATTTCTAATGAATCTGATTCAGATTTCGACCAGGCGAGAGTAAGTGAAATTGATTTGCATAAAAAAAAACAGAGATCTCAAGCTAAGAATCAGAGTAAAGTTCCAACTAAAACTTATAAGAAAAGACGAATAGAACACAAGGAGTCGAGTGATGAAATATCGATCTCAAATAATTCGGATGAATCTGAGTCAGAGGCACACAAGGATTCGGAATGCAAAGAATGCTTTGAAGAATATAAAAAGACCAAATCAACTGCAGATTGGATACAATGTGTAATGTGTAAAAAATGGCTACATGAGGATTGTACCATGTACGGCGACTATTGCAATAAATGCGGTAGGATTAAACGAATGAATACGAAAAAAACACCGTAGACTGAACTGTAGAAATACTTTTTTTTCTAAAGCTGATTAATATAAGAACTAAAAATAATTATATACCAAAGTGAAATATACCTAAGTGAAGAAGTAGAATAAACCAAAGTGAAGATTTTTTTTTTCTGAAGCTGATTAGTGTAAGAATATGAAAATTAAAACCAAAGTGTAATGTGCCATAACTAAATATTAAAATAAAACTTGTTAATTATAAATATGCTTTGATTTCTACCTAAGGGCAACTATCCTCATAGTGACAATAGCATCGGGGCATCTAACCCATATAAGAGGCATCTATACTCAGAACTAGTACTGTAATTTTTGTTTTTTTCTATATGTATAAGCAATAGCTGCATTGAATTTCTTTTTAAAATATAATAAATAATAGACCAATGTACGATTACATTGAAAAATTGGTTTAAATATAATTTATTTCTAGGAAAAAACAAACAATTTCAAAATGTGGGGCAACTATCCCACTTTTACCCTACTCTATATTCTCATAAGAGATAGGCAGAGGTGCATTTTTAATTATTTGTTATACATAAAATATACCTACTTACATAACAATAAATCCCCGAAGGGATAGGCAATGACTCCTATCTGGCGATCACGGGTCAATACATTGACAGGAATTTTATTCTACAATCTGTACTTCTCGAAATTCAATGTAAAGTCACACTGGTGTACATTTGGCCGAGGAGATAAAAAATGTAACTCAGGATCGATTGAGGAAAGGTTGAACCTCGGATCGCCAGGTATTGTAATGTAGGTATGTCAAGTATATATAGATTAGATATGAGCACCGCGCCGATGCGCCACCGCCGCGATACATCAAAGAGATGAACGCGATAACTGACGCGATGAAGTGGCCACACTACAGGTAAATGTGATTTAGCCATGCGCCACGAAGCATCAGTAGATTGAACGTATCATTTTTATGCTAATATGTAGGAAAGCTAATATTTCGCGTACTTACCTAACTGCGGCGCGGTTGCGTGCGACTGTCTGCATGGTGTCATAACTTCAAACAGCTTGTTAGAATGTTGTCACTAGATGGCGATATATTCAAATTTAATCAAAATATTTTTTTTTTTAGCAACCATATAATTTTGTTTAATACGATTATTTTCGTTTTACGCAGACACCGGTATTTATTTTCTCTATGGAACACTTAAACGTTTTTTAAAAAAATATATAAAAAGAATAATTGTATATTTTATTCACTCAATATAACAAGAGTGATTGATTTTTCTACTAATCGGCTACCATAGAGTAGAATGTTTATTTTACTTGAATAAATATTTTTCGTTCAGTACAATGAAGCGATGTGTTATTGACGTTGACTTTGCTTTTAAATTTTCAAATCTCTCTGTCCGTTTTTTTCCTTCCGAAGTGAATGGATGCGTATATTATACGCCAACACATCCATAGATCAGTTGAAGATGGTGATCCGGCTAAAGTGTGGAAATTCCTCAAATCAGTAGGTATCGGTAAACCTAGTCAAGATCCTTAACCTAAAGATCTAGATCTTAACTCTCTTAACACTCACTTCTCTTCCTCAGTTGCTTTAGATATGGCCACCAAAACTTCCACTTTAAATTTTCTTTCTTTACTCCCGGTACCTAATTTTCCTCCGTTCGTCTTCAGTCAATTTACTGCATGTGAGGTTAGGAAAAGCATTCTGTCGACGACTTCGAATGCCGTTAGTGGTGACTGTATAAGCCGCAAAATGATAATTCCTATCCTCGATCAAATTACTCCAATCATCCTCTTTGTCCTAAATTCCTCAGTCTTCAACAGAGCTTTTCCTCAGATTTGGAAGGAAGCTCACGTAATTCCTCTTCCCAAGAAACCAAATCCTGTTTCTTTTTCCGATTTTCGTCCTATATACATTCTTCCTTTTGCTGTCCAAAATTCTAGAAACTTAGTTCTTTCCTTACCAAGCATCCTCCGCCGCTTCCAATCTGGTTTTCGTCCGGGTCACAGCACAACCACGGCTCTCGTAAATATTACCGATGACATTAGGTCAGGAATGGAGATGGGGAAGTTGACGGTACTTGTCCTGCTCGATTTTAGTAACGCATTTAATACCGTTGACTTCGACATTTTGCTTGGCGTACTCAGCACACTTGAGTGGCTACATAAGCCAAAAAATGAGAGAACTGGCACGTTTTTTAATTGGGATAAGAAAAATCTGTCCAACAATTCAAAACTTAACAGAGTGTATAAATCCGATTTTCCGAAAGTTATCGAGACTGTTAAGGCTGTGACATCATATAATTCTTAATCCGGTAAATATGGAATACCAAATGTCTTGCTCTCAAAATTGGGCATTCCCTTAAAAAATGCGCCAATATTATAATTACCGAATCGCTTATACAAAATCTCACTCTCAAAAGAGAAATGGCACAAAATTTCATTAAACTTTGCGAAAATGAATGGTCAACAAATATTTTTACCGGTGCTTTAACAACTTTGTATAGAAACAAATGGAACATGCCAGATAGGTTGCCATTGGCCGAAGATGTCAAATTATTAAATAACTTTTTAAGGGAAGAGAGGGATAAATATATAACGCTTTTAAAAAATGCAGAAGTGATAATTAATAATTGGACTAGTTTAGCAAAAATTACTCTCGCCCAGACTTTATTATAAAAGAGAAGAAGAGCGGGAGAGGTGGAGAAAATTCCGGTGAAAAGTTAATCCCAAGGATGTAGACAAAAATTTCGCAAGCATTTATTCGGTTTGAAGTGCGTGGGAAAAAATGAAGAAAAGTTCCAGTTATATTGTACCCAAAAATAATTGAAGCATACGACATCTTACTGCTTTATAGATACCACGTTGTATACCAAAAGAAAATGATTATTTCTTCGCTTTACCTCCACTGTCTCACTTTCGTGGAAGTGATGTAATGAGAACATTTGCTATATCATCAGGAGCTAAACATCCGGAAAATCTTATTTCCACAAAATTGAGAAAAAATGTTGCAACAATGTCACAAATATCAAATTTGACAAATAACGAGCTAGATTAGTTGGCTACATTTATAGGTCACGATATACGGGTTCACCGAGAATACTATAGATTGCCGGAATCTACTGTCCAGTTGGCTAAAATAAGCAAAATATTGATAGCATTAGAAAAAGGAAAATTACACAACTTTAAGGGGAAAAACTTAGACGAAATAAATATCAATAAAATTTCCGATAATGATGAAAGTACGAATAGTGAAACTGAAACAAATGAACTCGATCTACCTGCCCAAACTTTTCAAGAAGACATGCAAGACCACTCTGATTGTAACGAACACGATCCCGGAACATCAAGAAAGGCTCTGTTAATGCTGTTCGGGTCATCAAATATGACCCGGGAGCCCGCAGTTCCCATGATCAAGCAGGACTCGTGTTTTTAGGTTCCTCCATAAAAATTTGGGGTTCTTAAGATTCCTGTTGATATCCTTGGAGAAATATACTTCTTTCTCTCGGGCCAGTGCAAATGATGCTTGGTTTTTGAGGTCCACATAGTATCTCCTGGCAGACTCAACAGTTTCTTCACTACCTTGGTTTTTTTTTTTAAAGTGTGAAATTTCACTCGTGCCTCATTGCTCAACTTGAACAACAGTTTGATATTGTCAGTGATCCATGGAGCCATTTTAGTTTTTATGGGAGCATGGAGGTCATAGAGCTGATTGGTAGCATATATGAATAGTGAAACCATACCACTTACATCACTCGAACCACTCATCCCCATCCAATCTATAGATTCCAAGTCTGCATTAAAGTTGTCAACTAATATATCCTTAAGCGGTCTATAAGCTACAATTCTTGGTTTAGTCTTCTCCTTCTTGATCATTGCCTCACAAGTAATAAAAGAGTGATTTCCGAGCTCACTGATATGACTCACAACAACATTGCGCACTTTTATATCTGTGCACACAACATCTATTGGGGTATCACTTTCTCTCACGAAATGCGTTGGCGTCTGTACCACTTGATTCATCTGGGTGTAATTTATAAAAGTCAAGCCAAGTCATTTAGATCAGTCAAGGTGACCGTCTTGTGGTCTTTATTTAATAAATTGACATTGAAGTCCCCCAACAATATAACATTGTCGTAGGGAGCCAATGCAGTGATGCTGTCAGTTATGCCATCCAAGAATCCACCCAGATTAAACCATGGCGGTCTATAAGCTGTACCTACCAATATTTTTTTCCCGTTGACGCCTACACTTAGCCACATCTGCTCAACCCCAAATTGTTCCGAGTGTTGCATCACTCTTGCCCTTATACCTGTTTTTATGTAAAACCCCACTCCTCCACCACGTCCTCCCCGCACAGACGTCGGCCGCGGTAAATGCTTCAGTCGGTAACCCGGGACACTACGCGCACGCGCCTCTTCATTCAGTCTCAGCCATGTCTCATTGATCGCCATGATATCTACTGAGTGATGAGACATGGCGATACGAAATTCATCATAGTTGGTTCCCAGAGATCCCGCGTTCAACAATCCGAACTTTAAGCATTTGGATTTAGGCATTTAGTTTTTTTTTTAATAGTGTTGTTGTGTTTGTATCGTATTTGTGTATATAGTTTATGTGACATGTAAATAATTGATATACGTATGTATAGGTTAAGGTTAACTTTGTAATTAATATGTTTAAGTATGTAATGATTAGTTTTAAGTTTGTAAATAGAAGTTTTAAGTATAGTAGTATAAGTATATAGATATAAATGTTGTTGTGAATATTGTAATATAGTTAAGTAAACAGCTGATCCACAACCACTGCTTTTTCCTATAAGTTGCACTTCATTATAGTAATAGCAAACATGACGCACCAATCTGAATAGACATTGCCCAAATAAACAATATGTGGCGGCTTAGTAACCGCAAATTGCTGAGTTGCATTATTGTCGAAACCTGGGAGCGCGGGCGCTCGGCTCGCTAGTCGCGTACGTCACACCGCCCTGCTTCGACATCTACATAGTACGTAGTTAGTAA